CCGAGCCCCAGAGCTCCGAGGACCCTGCCAGCCCCCCCGAGCCCCAGGACTTGAGCAGCAGTGTCTGCAAAGAGGAGAAGATGCCGCGCGGAGGCTCGCTGGAGAGCGACGGCTGCCCCAAGGAGCCAGCTAAGACTCAGCCCGCGCTCGCCACTGCCGCCACGGCCGCAGAAAAGTACAAACACCGAGGGGAGGGCGAGCGCAAAGACATTGTCTCATCCTCCATGCCACGGCCCAACAGAGAGGAGCCCGTGGACAGCCGGACGCCCGTGACCGAGAGAGTCAGCTGACTTTGCACAGAGCGGATTGCAGAGCAAACCAAGAATAAAGGCAGCTGTTGTCTCTTCTCCTGTGGGTAGGGCTCTGACAAAGCTTCCCGATTAACTGAAATAAAAAAGATTTTTTTTTCTTTCAGTAAACTTAGAGTTTCGTGGCTTCAGGGTGGGAGTAGTTGGAGCATTGGGGATGTTTTTCTTACCGACAAGCACAGTCAGGTTGAAGACCTAACCAGGGCCAGAAGTAGCTTTGCACTTTTCTAAACTAGGCTCCTTCGACAAGGCTTGCTGCAGATACTACTGACCAGACAAGCTGTTGGCCAGGCTTCCGAGGGTACGCCTGCACCTCCCCCACTCAGCCCTTCCCCACTGTGGTCGCTAGGGACGGAGAGCAGTGGAAAGGACACTCCCGCTCTCGGTGCCACCGTGCCCCAGTCTTGGAGCTCCTCTCCCCCCCCCGCCCCGCCCCAGGTCCCACAGCTCCCCTACTCCCAGCCACGTTGGGACGAGGAGGCGTGAGACAGGAGAGACAGTTGGAGCCTTTAGAGAAGCAGACAGAGGTGGCCAGTGGCTCCGGCCCCTGCGATCCCGCAGTGGTGGCACACGGCTCGCCCCATGCCAGCCCCCATCCAGAACCAACCAGGACATTTCGCAGGACAGGGAGGTAGCACCTGTTTGCTCCCGTCTGGCACGGCTGGGAGGGAGTTGTCCTTTGAGCGGCTGGGTGCAGACTGGCCTGAGCCAGAGGAGAGGCGGCCCAGGGCTGGCCTCCGGTGGGCTACGCAGGAGAGAGGCTGCGGAGGCCCCAGGCCCGGCGCAGGCAGGGCCCCTGGACGGCTGAGCGCTGCAGGGCAGAGGAGGGTTCCCAGCTGCTCAGAGCAGTGCGGGACGGGTAGCTGGAGGCTTAGCAGACAGGGCGGGTGCCGGGGGAAGGAGGGCAAATGTTCTTCCAAAACTTTCCAATTCTACTCCTGTAGGGACAGCGTAGACTATTCGCACTACTCAGTCTTTGTGCTCCCACTTCGAAACAATTTGCTCTGCGAGCTAACTGGCTTGAGTCGGTGACGGCCCGTCGAGCCGCCAGGCGCGGTGGTGTTCAGAGCTCCCTGGTCTGTGTACGCCTGCGCTTGTTTTCAAGTGGGCTCAGCGCATAGGGCTCCCACGAAGCTCCGAAACTCTAAGTGTTTGCTGCAATTTTATAAGGACTTCCTGATTGCTTTCTCTCTGTCCTTCTGTCTCTGCCGTTCATTTTACTCGCATTTCTTCCCCCCCCTCCCGGCCCATCCCTTCTGTTCCAGGCCGTCGCAGTACCCCACTGTACCCCTGAGCCAGTGCTTGTTAGCCCAGGCCCCAGGACTCCCTGCCCTGGGCTTCCACTGCTAGCACCTGCCCCACCCTGTTCTGAGCTCTGAGGAAGCCCAGGGCTTGCCATGGCACCTCCACTTCTGAAGAGCCAGGGCTTGCCCTCCTGGGAGCCCCCCCACCATCCGTGGTCAGCAGGAGCAAAAGGCCTTCAGCTCCTGAGCCCCAGGCCTTCGCCACCTAAAGAGATGGGCCAGGCAGGAGTGGGGCTGAGTTGGGGTCTGGATTGGACTGCCAGGGGAAGCGCAGAAACCACCCCGCCCTCGCCCCCACTTGAGCCGGCGGGGACCTCTGCCAGGCCTGGTGGCAGGCGGCCAAGGGTAGGGGCCCCGGAGCAGAGCTGGGACCAGCACCTAGGCCGCTGTGGCCCCTCAGCCCCCTCCTTTGCCACGAGTATTTTCCTAAGGGAAAACACTCGGCTTCTGCATGCGGAGCCTGGGCAGGCCCGGCCCCCTGGGCCTCCCTCCGCTCATGGGACGGTGCGGCCTCAGAGGCTCGGCTTTGCTGCGGTGTGCGCAGCGATCGGTTTCCATCTGGGATCCCATCTCTTCCACCTCTGTTCAGGAAGTCCTTATCTAGCTGCGTCTCTTCATCATATTGGTATATCCTTTTCTGTGTTTACAGAGATGCCATCTTAATCTGTCCAACTGAGAAGTACCTTATCAAAGTAGCAAATGAGACAGCAGTCTTATGCTTCCAGAAACACCCACAAGCACGTCCCACGTGAGCTGCTGCCATGAACTGTCAAGTGCGTGTTGTCTCGTGTATTTCAGTCACTGTCCCCTGGCTTCCGCAGCGCAGTGTGGCCGTGGAGGGGTGAAGCGCCCTAGAACCCGCCTCGCGCTTCTTCGCCGGTCTTTAGTGATCGGAAACCAGAGCTGACAGCACCAAGCAGTAGCTTAAGCAAACGCCGTGTCTGTCTCTTCCAGGATGGTCAGAAGCAAGGGGGTTTGCCTGTTCTGTCTGTAGAGTCCTAGTTATTCCTTCTAGCATTTCTGTGTCCGTTCGCTCACGCTGCGAAAGCCAGCCCCACAAGCGAGACTGCTCTGCTGCCGGCCTCCCTGCTTCACCTCCGGACCTCCCCAGGAAGGGCGAGTCCTCCCGAGCCCCTCTCCTCTGAGGACGAGGCGCCTGACCTCACAGTGGCCTCGCACTGCCGGTACCCCCGAAGGACGCCTGTGCACGTGTGCATGCGTCCGGCCCGGGCCACGGGGGCGGCATCTGCCGGGCTCAGTCGGGTTTGGGTCCGTTGTTCAGTCCAGTGTCAGGAACCGGCCCACCGTCAGCTCAGTACCACCTGGTGCTGGGGAGAGGAGTGGGGGCTGGGCCCCTCTTTGGTCCTGCCAGTTACCGGGGAGCTGACTGGGTGCTGCCAGTGGAGAACAGTGTTTTAAGTGGCATTTTCTTTCAGTTTGACCTGCCCCAGCCCCGGTACCCCTGTAGACGTCCAGCACCGCAGGCTGCCTGCGGCCCCCGGGCTTTGTTTTGCTCTCTTCTCCCTTTGCTACCTACCTTCCACTTCCCCAGTTCCAGGCTTTACCAGGCAGTCATCTTGAAGCTGGCCGCCATGACACTTCATCACCGTCTGGGGCATTAGAGGGACAGAGAGAGCCTACGCTGTGGGCTTCTTGGCAGCGATACCCTGCCCAGGTGTGACCTTTCCTGTGTTTCTGTTGAACACCTTGAAGGTCGGGGGCCCCCTTGAGGGATGCCATGAAGAACGCCCCAGTCAACTGATAGCTGCGCAGCCAGCTCACAGAGGTCGTGTTCGTCGTCTTCCCAGTCCTGGTTCTAGGTTAGTCACTCCCTCCTCCCCCAGCAGGATGCCGTGTGTCCTTGAGCTCCTGCTACTCACCCAGGCCGGCCAGTGCCCTTGCCAGCCGGACCCTGCCGTGAACTGGGGACACTTGGCCACAGCCAGGCTCTCGTAAGGCTCCCTTCCTGACGGTGCTGTATTCGCGTATCAGAAGGCAGCACATGCCCAGTCTGTCCCCGCCCACCTAGCCAAGGACCCAGCTGTCAGGGCCCCCGGAGGTAAATGCCACGACAGGTTGCCTCACCCGAGAGCCTGACGCAGGCGCAGGTGACCCGTTTACTGATATCGCTCCAGCCCAGAGGCCACAGAAGATAGTAACAGGACCTGGAGCAGCTCCAGGTTGCCTGTTTTTCTGCCCAGGGTGGCATTGCCAGGGTGGCAAAGACAGAGGAGAGCTGCAGCCCACACAGGGCCAAGTGTGGTGGGGAAGGAGTTTTCCTCGGGCTCTCTAGATTTTAAGTAACTTTTCACAGGAACCTCACACCCAGGAGGGAGCACAGGGTATGAATTCAGTCCACCAGGTGGGGCCCACCAGGTCTCGTGGCACCCTGCAGCCCCCACTGTGTCTCCTCTAGCCTCGACCCCCTTTCCAGAGCATTCCAACCTGGCTGACGGGGCCTGGAGCGGTCACTGGTACTGGTTCTTGGAGAAGACCGTCCTGAGTGGGTGTCCTCACCCACACTATGTCCAGATTCAAGCTTCATGCACAAGTTCTAGGGCCTGTAGCCCAGACTTCAAGAAGTGAGCTATGTCTGCAGCCCCGTGGCCTCTGCCTGGCCAGTCCCAAGGCAGGCCCTGCTCCTGGCCCCCCTTAGCCCTGCCCTTTCACCTTCCTTCCCGCCCTTGCTTGTGCAAGGACCCTATCTTCGAGGTCTTCCTCAGCGAACTAGTCTGCTCTGAGGGGGTTAGTTGAGTCTCCGTTTTTGTCTTTCTCCTAGACCCCAAGATCCCGACCACACACATCTTTCAAAGGCCTGGCGTGGTGGTTACGGATGGAGATGGCTATGACGCTGCTGCCTCAGGGTCCAAGTCTCGTAGTAAATGTTGGGGGAGGGAACAAACAACTGCAGCCTGTTCTCAGCAATTTGCCAGGAAAACCTAGAAAACACTTGGCAGAAAATAGTATTTTGCTGTTTGTGGGTACGGAAGCGCAAGCTCTTGCAAACAGTGCTGCTGTCAGAGTGCCTGGCACTTGGCCTGGCAGGTGTGCTGAGTGCACCAGCCCGAGCCGGCAGCGCTTGAACCGCAGCCGGGCCCTCTTCTCCAGGACGGACCCGCTCTCCATAGGCAGGGTGGCAGCCCCTGGGGGCCCGGCTGCTTGCCACTGGCACAGCTGCAGGCACCCAGCCCTGGGTGTGGGAGCGGGTGTTGGGCAGCGGTCCTGAAGTCCCGATGGCTTCACTACCTAGCATCACCCTGTTGCTTGCTTTTGCTCCTCTCCTCAGAGCTACCCCATGCACTGATTGGTCAGGAAGACAGGAGTTCCAAGGGCCCCAGCCATTCGCAAAGAGGGGTGTACCCTCTGCCTGGGGTACCTGGCTCCTGGGTCCGTCCCTGGGGGTCAGCTCCCTTGGGGTCTAGGACCTAGGTGACTAAGCGCCCCTGCTGAGTTGGGAGGTAAGGGCAGAGGCCTGAGCGTTGCCGCAGAGGGTGGCCCTTCAGCCCTCTGGGAGAGCCCTGGGCTGGAGCAGGTGTGGTCATAGACTCCGCCCCAGCAGAGCCAAGGCCTGCACCTTGGAGCTCGCGAACATGTGCGCTTGCAGTCGCCTTTGCTCCCCCAGCGCCCTAGCTGGCCTTCCTCAGTCCGGCTCAGCAGCGAGAGAAACGAGGTGAGAAGGCTGAGAGGCCTGACTCTGCCCGCAGCGCGTGTCCAGTGACAAGCTGTTCTCCTGGTGACCCCGATTCCACCCAGTATCTTCTAGACCGTACGCATAGGCCTGCTTTGTCTCTTCGATCCTGGGCTTTTATTTTCTTTTTAGTTTTGCTTTTAGCTTTTCAGTCCTTTTTATTTAATGCATCGACTAGACACACAAAGCAGTTGAATTTTGATATATATATATCTGTATATTGCACAATTATAAACTCATTTTGCTTGTGGCTCCACACAAAAACAGACCTGTTCCAATTACACCTGCTGCTTAATCACGGTATTTCTGATAACCATAGCATAGGTCAAGGGAAATAAAACAAAAACTAAAAAAAAAAAAAAAAAAAAAAAAACCGACAAACCTGTCTGCTGGTTACTTCTGTCCCAGCGAATCTGTGGTCTTTTCCTCGGCTTTTCTCAAGGGCTTCCCTGTGCCAAGTGAAGGAGACGCCGGGCAGCCCCGGTTTCACACTGTCTCTCCGTGCTTGTGAGAAGACCCAGGACGCCTGTGCGGGGCCTTCTCCTGTGGCTCATGGATGCCCCGGGAGAGTCCAGAGACCCGTGGCCAGTGGCCAGGCCCATGGGAGCTGGCTCAGCAGGGCTCCCCTCTGCGGGGTTCCAGGGTCTGGAGGGGGGAGGCCTTGGGAACCCCAGAGCACCTATGAGAGTTCGGTGGGCCCCTCCAGGAGGTAGCGAAGACTCCAGAAATGTCCTTTTCTCATTTCCCCTCACAAGTAATTTCATTTGCTTTTGTAATTCGTAATGAGCAATACCTGCTAGAGTTTAGCTGTAAGTTCTTTTTGATCTTTTTTTTTTAAGTAATTAAAAACACCAAAAAAAAAAAATCCAGAAACTTGTTCTTCCAAAGCAGAGAGCATTATAATCACCAGGGCCAAAAGCTTCCCACCCTCGTCATTACTTCTGAGGCCTGACTCCGAAAGAGACACTCTTGGCTCTTGGGGTGACTGAGCTCCCCTGGCCCCTCTGGGCCAGGCAGGGGCACGCCCCAGCCTGCCTTCAGTGTTGCGGGGGGGGGGGGCTGAGACCTTCCCCAGCCAGCCTTTGGGGGGAAGAGGAGCAGCAGGACACGTTGCCATTGCTGTGTGGCCACTGGTAGGCAGGCGTCCGCGTGTGGCCACTCGCGTGCTTTCCGACAGTGCCACGCCACGCCCGAGTTCGCTGCCCCTGGCCACCCGGAGCCCCGGGGCCAGCCCGGTTCAGTGTTTCTGGGGAGCTGGCCACTCAAGTGCGAAGCCTGCTCCTTCCCTGTTCCAAGGCCTCCTGTTCGGTTGTCCCTGCCTCGGTGAATGTCAGCGCCCCCCAGTCCCGGCCGGGAACCCGTGACCAAGCAGCACCGGGACTGTTAGTGTGTGCGCGCCGCGCCGGGCTCCCCTGTGCCGCCCGCCCTTGCCCTCCTGGTCTTTTCTGGGGTTTTCTGTTTAGGTTTACTTTGGTTTTTGATTTCTCCTTTTGTGTTCCAAACACGAGGTTCTTTACTGGTCCTCTTAACTGTGGTGTTGAGGCTTCTGTTTGTGTACTTTTGGTGGGTGAAAGGAACTTTGCTAAGTAAATCTCTTCTGTGTTTGAATTGGTCTGTATTGTAACCATGTTTAAAGTAATTGTTCCAGAGACAAATGCTTCCAGACACCTTTTCTTTACAAACAAAAAGTGGGGAAGGAGGGAGGGGATAGTGACTGACAGGAGAGGGGCTGACCTTTCTCCGCAGGGAGAGCTGGAGAACAACCCCCCTCCCCCGCCCGTAGCAGCCAGAAGCCACCCACAGAAGTAAGCCTAAGCCCGTGGACCAGGTAGCTGGCATGTGCCACTTCGGTTTTGTTCCCCCCGGGGTGAGCCTTTGCCTCTCCGCCCAGGTGGCAGCCATGGAAAGACAGGTCGATGGGCTTGCACGGGGACCAGCGGGCTTTGAGCAGCCCCTTCTGTGTGGGGGCGGATGGGTGTCGCATCTCCCTGGAGACGACCGCTGGCCGCAGGTCAGGGACATGCTGATGGGTAGATGGCTGCCCTCTGCTTCCCGGCCAGGCCGTGTGGTGGGCACAAAGGCCCAGCACACCTCCAGCGAGTCCCACCCTCTCCCACAGAGCACGAGGCTGCTGTGCCACTGGGCAGTGAGATGGGGGACACGCATTCTGCTCTCCTCCCACCCCTACCCCCAGGCAGGCAAGACATGTCCCTTCCTTCGTGTGGCACAAACTGACCGGTGCAAGAAAGCTGACAGCCTGGTAGACGCTGCTCTCCGGGGCAGGGCAGGGCAGGCAGAGCTGCCCGTGGTCACCTTTGCGCCTGGGGCTCAGCAGCGGGGGAGAATGGGGCAGGTGGCTGCAGCCTGCAGCCCGCTGAGGGCAGGAGTGTGGGCGCCGCCAGGCAGACGCGGCTGGACATGTCCCTGAGAGCCTCTAGCACACTCACCCTCGGTTTCTGTGTTTTGGGACAATTACTTTAGAAAACTAGTAGGTCGTTTTAAAAACAAAAACTATTGATTGCTTTTTTGTAGTGTTCAAAAAAGGTTCTTTGTGTATAGCCAAATGACTGAAAGCACTGATATATTTAAAAACAAAAGGCAATTTATTAAGGAAATTTGTACCATTTCAGTAAACCTGTCTGAATGTACCTGTACACGTTTCAAAACACCCCCACTGAATCCCTGTAACCTATTTATTATATAAAGAGTTTGCCTTATAAATTTACATAAAAATGTCCGTTTGTGTCTTTTGTTGTAAAATCAAGTGATTTTTTCATAAGGTTCTTTTACTATTTGAAAAGATGGGCAGCACGCAGTTTTATTTTATTTTTGTAAGTTTTTTAATACGTGTGAAAGCAAAAGAATACCCAGCATGCCTTTCTAAGTGACGCGTTTGCACCTTCTGTGGGGAAGTACTGTATCCTGTGCTGTTAGCATTCTCGATAAATCTCTCTGTGAAAGTGACTCAAGGTCTGGGCTTTCATTATCAGACAGCTCCCAGGACAGCATGGTGCGTGTTTCCTGCTCCGCACGTCTGTCCCCAGCAGGCAGCGGCTGCAGTGGCCCCGCACCGCCTCCCCTTGCTTGCTGCTGGGAGACACTTTCCAGGCGCCTGTTCCTGCCAGCAACAGGAAGGTGGCGCGGGGCCGCCGGGCCCGGGTGCAGAGGCCTTCTGCCTGGCCGCACCAATCCCCAGTTCCCCAGGGGCCCTGCTAGGGGACCCTGGCAGGGCTGCTGCCCACTGAGCTTTGGGAGCCAGTGAGGGCATGCTGAAGGGCTGCCCACAGGGGTCGCAGTCGTCACCACGGGTTTGAAGGCCAGGCCTTGTCACACCTTCCCATACTCCCTGGCTTCACCTGCTATTGTGGACACCCTGCAGGAGGTACATGCCAAAGTCCTGGCCCTGACCAGTGCAAGAAAGGGTTGACCTTGCACCTGTGAGTCTTGCGCATCTGTCACGTGCCAGCCGATGCTGGGAGCTGCTGCCCAGCAGGAAGCACGCAGCGCCAGTTCCTGTCTCCTAATTAGCCCTTAAGTGTGAGCGGCCTCAGTGAGACCCAGCCCCTAAGCAGCCACCGAGCTTCAGGCTGTAGCTGCCGCTTGTAGGCACTTCCCAGGGAGGCCTGTTTGGTGGACCTAGTTTCTGCGGGCAGTCCTGAGCACTGGGGCAGAGGGTGGCCAGTGGGGAAAATCACTGCGCCAGGATCAAGAGGGAAGAGCCAGTCAGGGGAGGAGGCCTGTCAGTTCACAAGCCTGTGTGCAGCTGGACTAATGAAAGGGGAGGCACCGCTGTGGCTGGTGGCCTGGTGGCTGGCTAGTGCGGGAGGTGGGCGCGCACACAGGCGGAAGAAGGATGCTTGGCGATGCCAGGCCCCGCGGGATCTTGGGCAGCTGCCCTTGCTCAGGGTGACCGCCAGCTGGGGTGCGGTTTGAACTGCCCCTGGTCCAGAGAGGGTCAGGGAGCCCAGGGCATCTGTAGCGCCATCGCAGTTGTAACTGGCAGGAGTCCACAGGAGGGCCTCGCCAAGGGAGGACCGCAGCTGGAGAGCCGGGCTCCCCATGGCGTGGGGCAGGGCAGAGTGCAGGTGAGCCGGTGCCCGCGGCCGAGGACTCCGTGAGGGCCGCAGCAGGAATGGGCCTCGGACGCGTGTGGCGCGATGCTCGTGGCCGGGTGCCGCAGGCAGGCCGGGGAGTGACCGTGACAGGGAGAGGGCGCAGGAGCCGGCGCAGCTACCGGAAGTCAGTGCTGGCGGCCGGAGCCGCGAGGAAAAGCGAGGCCAACGGCCCGGGATCCTGAAGGCGCGGGCGCGGTGGGGGCCAGAGCCCGGCAGCCAGGCGGCCTGCTGGCCG